TCCTATTCCTACTGCATTCCTTGGTGGCTTTGATTTCAAGCACTGTATCCTTCTAAGACACAGGTTGGCAACCTGCGGCTCCGGAGCCACATGCGGCTCTTTGAGCCTTCCCCTGTGGCTCCCAGCCTCCTCTGCCTTTGCAGAGAGAGACAGAGACAGAGAGAGGCAATTGCGCTTCCCTGCTTCTCTCTCTCTCTGTGTGTGTGTGTGTGTGTGTGTGTTGTGTGTGTGTGTGTGTGTGTGTGTGTGTGAAGCTTCTCTCTCTCTCTCTCTCTGTGTGTGTTTTGTGTGTGTGTGTGTGTGCGTGTGTGTAAAAGAGAGTGCACTCACAGTGTTCTCCGAGGAGCTGAAAAGCTTTCTGGGCGGAGCTCCTCCCTTTGCTGCGTCTCTGAAGGAAGCAGGAAGCAGGAAGGGCAGGAGAGAGCTAGCTAGCCCAGCTAGGCTGACTTAGGAATTCTGGGAGTTGAAGTCCACGAGTCATAAAAGAGACGAGGTTGCATACCCCTGATCTTGTTGGAGAACAACTTGAAGTTTGCCAGGTGAGCAGCAGATGGGGGGGGGGAGAAAGAGAGAGAGAGAGAGAGGGAGGGGGAGAGAGAGAGGAAAGAGAGAGAAAGAAAGAGTGTGGGGGAAGAGGAGTGGCAGACCAAGGGCAGAGAGGGAGGGAGGGAGAGAGACAGAGAGACCCTTTTGACATCTAAAATGAAGATAACACTGCATATATCCTTTTTTTACCTATGTGTGTATGTAATTTTATTCTCTTAAAGCATTCTCTCGGTGATCATTGTTTTAATAGTATGGATATTCCCAAGAGTCATATTTTTACTTTTATTTTTAATGTGTGTGTGTGTGTGTGTGTATACACACACACACATACACAAACTCTCTCTCTCTCTCTCTCTCTCTCTCACACACACACACACACACACACACACACACACACACACACCTATAATAAAGATAAAAAAGGATATATGCAGTGTTATCTTCATTTTAGATATCAAAAGGGTTTTGCGGCTCCCGGTGTTTTGTTTTTGGTGGGAAACGGGTTCAAGTGGCTCTTTGAGTGTTTTGGGTTGCCTACCCCTGTTCTAAGATATCTGAGAATGGTTGCCCACTTCTGAATTGAGAGAAATGTTTCATATATTAATCTCATTTGCACTACAGAAATGTGCACTCTATGGGGTTGTTCTTTAAAATTCTCTAGAAGCTTCAACTAATCCAGAATCAAATGAGTACACAGGGGCATATCTTATTTTGCCCTGCCCATTTGACACCAGCACTTTGCAAGGTACACTATTGGATTGTTAAATGAAATTCAAGGGACTGTTTGACACCTATAAAGCACTTCAAGGATTGAGGTCTGGATATCTATGGAACTGCCTTTCTCTACCCAAGCCTGTAAAATCTATTAGGGCTGGCGTGTTATGAATCCTATCAGTGAAACAACATCATCTTGGGGGACATCAAACACATAGCTTCTTTGTCCGCATCCCTGACATCCTCTGCAATCTGCATAGTTCTGACTTTATTAAGGTTCCATAAGGACATGAAGATCTGGCTTTTTCAACAGGTCCTGATTTGTGATTCCAAAGCACCTGAAGGCAGGATAAGAAACAATGGATGGAAATGGGAACCAACCTAGAACTAAGGAAAAATTTCCTGACAAAACAATTAATTAGTGGAATGACTTGCCTCCAAAAGTTGTGGATGCTCCAACACTGGAGGTTTTTAAGAAGCAATGGACAAACATTTGTCTGAAATAGTATAGGGTTTCCTGCCTGAGCAGGGGTTGGACTAGATGACCTCCAACTTCCCTTCCAACTTTTGTTATTCTGTTATTGATGTATATTGTATATTGTTTCCCTGAAGTAGGAGGTTTGTGTTTTTCATAAACATATGTATATTGTTTCTGCTTATATCTATTTCAATATTTAAAATCTTTGTATGCTGTCTAAACTTGATGATTGATGTGGCTAATAAATTGATTATATAAATAAAATACTGAGAGAACATTGCACATGGAACATGATACTAATTCTTTTTACAGATCTTTTAAAAATTATGATTAAAAATAACCTGACAGACGAAAATGCAACCCTTCTAGTGAAAAAAGTAAAACTGATCAGATTTATAGTAATCCATATGTTCCTAATATAATATTAGGTCTTCTTTTATCAGACTGATAAAATGAAATGTAAATGAGGGATGACATGGGTGCATAAAGCTGGAACATTTCTATTAAACCACTGAGGGAATTCATCTGGAGTTTTGGAAGAGGAACTATTACATGGTCATGAAACACAGCTCTATTACTTCTCATCATCCAACACCGAGGGAGCAACCAGTATATTTGAATATTGTCTAAATTTGAGAGGGTGTATGTGAACAAACTAAAATTAAATTATGACAAGATGGACAAGATGGAATTGGACCTGGGAACTGAGGTTCAGCCTGTTTTTTAAGAGCAGGCAAGACTATACATTGGGAATGTTTCTTGATCCTCAATTATCACTGAACAGACAGGTTCAAAATATCTTTGCACAGTTATGCCTAGTGCACCATTCTCAACCCTTTCTAAATTTAGATTTGTTGACAACAATCTATACTATGGTTGTACCCCATCCTGGCTACTGCCACGCATTCTATGTGATCTATTCTTGAAAAAGTATAACAAAGACAAAATGCAGAATAAAAGCTAGTTTGATGTGGTTGATAAGGCACCAGCCAGAAACCAAGAGACTACGGACTTTAGTTCTGCTTTAGGCAAAAAATCATTTGGGTGACCTTGGATCAGTCACTTTCAACTCTAGGAAGAAGCAATAGCAAGCCACTTTTGGCAAGAAAATTGCAGGGACTCATATGCACAATCACAGGAGTCAGCCCAGTAGTTTTATTGATTACTGACTTGCAGTCCTCCACTCTCTCGAGGTTGCTAATTGATACATTATACAAAGATGATATGTTGAGTAAAATGTCTGCACTAGTTGCCAGGCTTGGTTCAAAGCAGGGAAGCTATTTTTTTAAAGCAGGGAATAGAATCCCCAGTGGGTGAGCTACCATTCTATTATTTTAGTAAGTTTTAATGTGATATATTGTATTGCTTGATTATGGTTTTCTTTTTCTTTTCCTTTGTGTACTGCCCAGAATCACCTGATCTGAATAAGATATTCATATAAATGCTTCTCTCTCTCTCTCTCTCTCTCCCTCCCCCCTCCCTCCCTCCCTCCCTCTTTTTTTTCTTTCTTTCTTTCTTTTCTATCTGTCTGTCAGGGACGTGGCACGCAGCGACTTAATGATGCTGGAACTGCTGGCCAGAAATGGGCTGCACTCTGATAGTTCGAGTCCAGTTCCATGAGATGGAATGAGCTCCCCTCTCTCTTTCCCTAGCTCCTGCTGATCCAGCATTCAAAAGCATGCAGGATTGCAAGCAGATAAATGGGTACCACTTTGGTGGGAAAAATCTAGCTGCGTTTGCATGTCTGTGGAGAGCAGAAGCCAGCGCTAGACCTGAGATGTATAACAATGCAATAAGAGGCGAGACTGGTGGAGGAGCCCAGAAGAGCCAGCAACTTGAATGCTGCTAGTCAGCTGGTATTAGCTAGTTCACCCTCTGTGTTTCACCAAGGATAGGGATGCAAGTGCCGAACACAATGAATTAGTAATTAAGGCTGACAGGACTGCACTGTGTCTAGCATGTGTAGAATCCCCTGACGTTGTATGCTATGCACTAAAAGAATGAACAAATGAATGAATGAATATCTGTCTGTCTGTCTGTCTGTCTGTCTATCTAAACTATAACATAACCATCTTTTCTATTATGGACTCTTTCAGATGTATAGGAAGGCTCGTTTTGATCTTTATTAGCATATTTTCTCCCTCACTCTTGACAAGCATTTAGCATTTCATTATGCTTTTAATAGTATACCTTTTATTAATCTTTAGCATCATGTTTTACATTTCTGTTAATTAACTTGAGGCTTGCCTGAACACAACAGGGGGGTGTAAGTCAGATCAATAATAAATGTGTGCCTCTGCTGAAAGTAAAAATGAATATTGATTCATTAAAGTGAGTAGCCAGACTTGGCTCTTTAATGTCCTAGTTCAGCCCTCTATCACCTGCTACACCTTCTCTCCAGGTAAAAAGAAATTTTCATTTTGAAAAAGAGGCAGCAGCAGAAGACAGTGCTCAGGAAGCATCTCTTGGGGCTTAGAATGAGACTATTAATCTCATTAAAATGATATGCTTTTCTGGGAAACTATTTCTGCAAGATCTAATCTGGGTTGGTCACCAGGAAAGAGGTTTACTCTTTCAAGCTTTGGGACTTGTGCTGGAGCTCATCCTTGGGGAACTTCTTTCTATAGGAATATGTGATTTAGGCTATTCTATGAGTCATATTTATGTGGTGCCTTTCTATTGGTTGATTGGCTGTTGTTTCTTTGTGCTGCCAAGCCCTCGGCTCCCAAGTACCTGAAAAATTGGTGCTAAATCAGCACTCCTCTTGACTGACAAGGGGCAGCACAAGAAAACAACAGCCAATCGCCGACCATCAACACTAATCAACCAATAGGAAGGCACCAGATTGGATCTTGCAGCATGTGGTGCAGTACTGCAGGCTAACTCACTGCTCACTCCAGAAGTTTGATTCTGAGCAGCTCAAAGTTCACTCAGCCTTCCATCCTTTCGAGGTTGGTAAAATAACCCAGATTGTTGGGGGGCAATATGCTGATTTTGTAAATCACTTAGAGAGGGCTGTAAAGCATTATGAAGCAGTATACTATGTAAGTCTAAATGCTATTGATCTTGCTATTATCCTGGGACATGTATATTTGCCTTCATTTGTAAAACTATTTCTGGCTGAAATGCATCCAAAGTTAAAACCGATTCCACCAAATGTCAGAGGTGCATGTCTGAATGTTCACAATGAAGCATTCAGTTGAGTTAACACTTGGTAAGAGAGTGATGCTGCTATGTGCAAGAGATTAACTATAAAACTTACTGTATACTTGCAACTGTCCTCGGAAGACATTCCTTCCCCGGGAATTTTCAGCTTTGCATTCATATGTCCCTGCATCTTCCAGTTGCACGTTCGGGATTTCAAGCACTGCTTGGGACTTCCGCAGGCGGGCTTTGCTCGGATTGGGGCCATTAACTTTCCTCCACGAGATTGTTGGAACTGGGCTGAAATATTTAGCGAAGGCATGATTAGCTGTTCCTTGCCGTTAAGAATATAGATCCTGTTACCTGCTAATTTAAGCACTTAATCGTCTAAGCAGCAATAAAGTGTAATCACAATTAAAGCTCGGGAACTGCTTGATATATTTCACTTTCAGCTGAGAATATTTAACTAGTGCTGCTGCTGTCCTGGACACTTCCTGCTTTCTGAAAATTAAGTCTTTCCCAGTGATTAAATCATAGAATTGGAAGAAAGATATTGTGTTGAAGAGAAAACACGATTGGACAGAAGTAAAAACTGATGCAAACTTTCCACTGGATAACTAGATTGATTTCTCATTAGGGATTAATGATTAAGGATTCTGGAAGATGTTAGACTGACTGAAATGTTGAGTTGAGTCACTTGGCTGCAGCACAGGGGCTATTTATTCCATAAATGAATATCACTACAGCAAATGTTTTGTGAGCATTGGCTTGCTCCGTGAAAATTACTAAGAGAGTAAAAGAGAGAGAGAAAAAAAACTCCTTCCAGCCACAGTGCTTTCATCCTGTCTTCATTCCATCTTTTTGCAACTACTTCTATTTAGCAATAGAATTCTCCCTCATGCTTTCAACATTAACAGTGGGACTGAAATAGATGCACCAGTTCAGATCTCCACTCTTTCCTCCCTTCTCTGCACAAGCTACTGTAGAAACATGGACCTAACTGGTAGCCCAGCAGTTTCAAACTGCAGTTGGCCTTTCTATGTGTGAAAGGAGGATTATTTTCAAATCAGTAGCATGAAAAGGGGGGATTCAGCCATGTGGAGCTGGAAACATTGCCTTAAACCAAACTAATGCTTGCAGAATGGTTTCACAAATTTTATCCACCCTTTCTTCATACACATATACAGTGTCTCTTTATTACTAGCATGTAAAGGAGATGACCTTGGCAGGATTATGCAAGATTTATTATTAGAGTGACAAGGAGTAACTTCTGTCCCGTCTGCTGTGTTACTTGCATTATGGCATTTTGTGAGTTGGTTATTTGCACATCCATTTGTTGTTGATGTTACAACAACAGTGCAATAAGGTATTTAGTGGTGTGCCCGGAGGATCTAAGACCATTTCTTGTAACAAAGGTGAGATCTTCAGCTTTTCTTAAAACATAATAAGAAACTTTTCAAGATTGATGTTAGGCCCATTAGATAGACTAGACCAAGAAATCAACTTCACAGAAAAGCTAAAGTTAATTTTAATGAGATTGTCTATAGTAACAGAATCTTGCAAGTCTGATTGTGCTGTACCTGCTCTGTGAATTAGGGAGACATTTATCTGAGCTACTTATGAATACTAACTGTCTATTGCACATTTAGAATATTTTTTACCCCTCATTACCCTAATAACAGATCTTCCATATCTCCATCAAGGCTATCATCCTTCTGTCTACACACACTCTCTGTAATAGTTCATTTCATTTGAAACAAAAGAGACGTAAAACCCCTTTCTATACCAAGTGTCAAGAAGAGGGTCTATTTCCAAGGGAATGCCCAATAGGACTACTTATTTATCTTAAATTGAGCGAGTTCTTTATTGGTGGACTTTTTGTATTCATATTTTTGCTCAGATTATTCTTATATCAGAAAAATGTGGCAAGTTTGGCTTAACTGGCTAGATGCTTCTCAGTAAATGGTATTCTTATAAAGTAATTTAAAAAAATACCATTTTTTTAAATACCATTTAAATACCATTAAATACCATTTTTTCTTCCACCAGAAGAAATCTGGTGGAAGAAATATAACAATTTTTTTTTGGCTGGCAGTGTGATAGAATGTAATGTGGAGCTGCAGAAGGGAGGGGCCGTTTCCTAGGAGGCAAAGAGGCAGTGGAGCTTGGAATGTCTGGAAGGCAGGACGAAGGCAAAGGCCAATGGTGGGATTCAGCCAGTTCGCACCAGTTTGGCAGAACCGGTAGTTAATTTTTTGTTGCCCAGGCCCAGAATGGACTTCCAGAAGTGGTATCCACACAGAGAACTAGTTGTTCACATATTTGAATCCCACCACTGGTAAAGACTGACCCTCCCTAGCAATTCACAGAGTATAGCTATAGTTATACAGATAATTGCCTTAGTCTGGCAAGATTCTGTAGCTCAACAATAAAAAAAAAACACTACCAGTAGAAATAACTCCATGTCTTGTTTTTGGTTCTTTGGGCCTGACATTAGGCACTGCTGGAGAAAGGAAGAGAATGCCACAGAATTCAGGGAAGGAGAGTGGCTGGACAAAATGGAGGCTATAGACACAATTGGCTTTAAAATGAGACTAGCTTCAGCCACTGCAAAGGATAGCAACATCCCAGGGCCTCAAAAGGGCCTCTGCATTCTGAAATGAGTCCTCCAAAAAGCTTGGGCATCTGTCAATTGCAAAAGGCAACACTGCTTGGCTCCACATATATACAGTACTGTGCTGATAATTTACAGTGTCCTAAATTCTTGGGAAGAACTAAGGTGACCAACCGTCCTCCTTTAGGGAGGACAGTCCTCATTTTGTAAGTTCTGTTGTCCCTCAAAAAGTGTCCTCCTTCATGTCTTCCTTTTCGATATTTGAAGACTAATCTGCAGGGCTTTTTTTTTTTTTCCCTCATAGAACGCTCAGAACGGCGTTCCGGCACCTTTTTTTGATGGGTTTTTTTTTCAACCTTTGCATGACCTGTGCTACTCCCACTATTGGCTTTCAAAAGCCAATAGGAATTGCTGCTGAGCACCCAAAAACACCTAGCTGGCAAACTTTGCACATGCAAGTCATCTGTATTATTGTTGCAATGAATAAAATGTTTCTTTTATTTATGATATTTTTTTCTTCAATTTATTTGTGTCCTCCTTTTCATTGTAAAAAAGTTGGTCACCTTAGAAGAACTCAAGGTGTATGAAGGCCAATACCAGCTAAAGAACTGGCAGCTGGGATTTCATGCTGTTGTGTGTATAATAACAATTATAAAAGGGGTGTGAGGATGAACCAGTTGTGGAGATATTTACTCGGAGGAAAGGTGCTTTTTGCTCATTTTTTTCCTTGTCTTACTTTTCTTTTCTTTCCTCCTAAAAACTACTTTTTTAGAAAGTAGGATAGTGCATTGTCAATTTTCCTTTCTAAAATGCTTTCAATAAGTAGACAAAGGATGGTAGAAATTTTAGTTTTGGTACATATGTCACGCCACCTGAGTTGGTGGCTTTAAAAATATTTTTTAAAAGTTTCTTTTTTCAAAGTTAAGATTTGTTCCATGTGGAATAAAATGGCAGATTAAAAACAAGCAGTGTTGAAAGGTCCACCTCTTTTGTATGTCTATCCTACAATCACAAACACATATGAACACACATGTGTCACTTGTATTGCAACAGTACACTTTTTCTCAAAAGACTCTGATTATGCAGATGTCTCTGCCTAATATGTATGTCTTATCTGCCTCTATTCCATCATTAAAGATTGTCAGCCTTGCGAGATAGTCCAAAGAAGAACACCCAAGAGTAGTAGCTTTAGCTTTATTGTTCATATTCACAGAATCTTGCAAGTCTGAAAGTATTGACTTACAATTACAATTGAGCCCCAAATTTCTGTTGTGAAGTGAAACATTTGTTAAGTGAATTTGCCCCATTTTACAAGCTTTCTTGCCACAGTTGTTAAATGAATTGCTGCAATTGTTAAATTAGTAACACGGTTGTTAAACGAATCTGGATTCTCCATTGACTTTACTTGTCAGAAGGTTGCAAAAGGTGATCACATGACCCCGGGACACTGTGACCGTCATAAATATGAGTCAGTTGCCAAGCATTTGAATTTTGATCAAGTGACCATGGGGACACTGTAATGGGTGTAAGTGTGAAAAATGAACATAAATCATTTTTTTCAGTGATGTTGTAATTTTCAAATAGTCACTAAACGAACTGTTGTAAGTTGAAGACTACCTGTACGTCTTTCCCCCTCGACCATTACAATCCAAGACATTTCTGAGTTGTTTGCCACAGTCACATTCCTTCTGCAGGCTCTCCTGCCTCTTTTCTGACCATTTCCAATCTGTGTTTTTTCCTCCTGTCTCCCAAGGCCATTCCCACATATTATGACAAAGACAGCAGAGGAAGAATCCTGATAAATCATACATATGATTATCAGAATATGGGCAGGTAGATGCATGCATTACTTTACTGATGTACAGTAGATAGTAGTGTGCTAATCAACTAGTTTTGAGTATTCACTACAATGGAAAGTGGGATATATAATAAATTAATAAATGGACAAATTCTCAGCCAAAAACTGCAGGCTGGATGATACTAGTCAATATTTCTTAGGCTATTCTGCATGAACAGGAACAGAGTTTTTTTTTCTGAATAGGAAAGGAGGTTATTTTTTTTCCTTCTAATTTTCTTTCAAAAGCCATCTCTACTAGACTTCCTAGACTTCCAGATTGTAATATAAATCACATTATCAAATAATTCAGTAGTACTGGTATGGATTTCTCTTTCAAATAAATCTACATGATTGTTTTATCTATTGCAAGAACATGTTACTTTATACTTAAAAAGTCTTCTTGTGGCAGTTTCTGGCAATTGCTTCAGAAATTCTCTATAGAATGAAAAAAGATCAGATTTCTTTGAAACAGGAGAAAAAACATTCTGAGACTCTACCCCACATATCCCAATATTTTCAGAAAACAATACAGAAATTCCTGGCACGCTAAAATATGAAAGGATGAGGTAGAAAATCTTTGCTTGAATCATAAAAAGCCACCAAGGCTACACAAACAGAAGGACTCTGATTATATATAAAATTATTCCTATTTTTTAGTTGAAGGATCTTTTTAATGCAATTGATGAATTACAAAAATTTCTAATGAATTTAATGCAGCAAACTTTAAATAGACTTAACTAGACTTTGTTTTGTTTTAATTGTATGTCACATCAACTTTACTGCTATTAATTATATCTGGAAAGATGCTGAACTTTTAAAATACCATTGTCTGGGCCATTAGCAGGTCTC